CAACCTATCGATCTTGTTACTATTTCCCCAGCGGCGGTTTCATTTAATGGTAATAACTTCGTCGGGACTTGAGCAAACGTATTCCTTTGTCCACCAGAAGAGTAAAAGCGCTTGTCCGGTAGAGTTCTATATTTTGAATAAACTGCGTCTCACTGAATTATCATACTGAGTTACTGACCAAATTTTCTTTATAACCATGATATGTCAATTACAGCGTTCATAAACTCTTTTCTGTCACATTGCCTCAGTTCATTCGATGTCCGTAATTCTTTGCCGCTCCACACCAAGTCAAATTTTCAAATTTTCTTTCTCGGTAACAAGACATTGCTCTTTGTTGGTATATGTGTCAAAGTGAACTCCCTTATCACATTGACCTTTGTCTGCGTGTTCGTTGTTGATATATGATTGGTCAGTTGATCTTTCATTCCGTTTACACATGCCCAGGGAAACATTTGAACTTTGGACTATTGGATATCGCCTTTTTGTGGCTGTCAATAAGCTTATCCTGTTACTATGAGATTATAACCAGGTTTGAAGGTGACAAACGTGTTGTCTCATTAACTTGAATTTATATATTGTTATATATAAATTTGCTTGACATTTTCATAAAAATTGACTAAAACTTGAAAAAGTGTCTGCCAACAATTAATCAAGATGCCATTTACAATCCATCTCAATCCTGGCGTAATCTTGCCCATCCAGACTTCTGTACATGTTTTTTGTGTCTGTTATTGCTTTATTTTGTGCTTACACTCATTCTTTTTCAGTTTTGGGCAAAATTTGCAAGGGTTGGAATTGCCCAAAAATCGGTGACATTGCCCCTTTAAAAGCGCTGTGAAATTTCCAAATTGCAACATTGCCATTGAATTCGCTAAAACTTGATGCGCAAGAAATATGTCGAAGTGTACCTCTCTGTTATGAATGTTATCAAACCTACGGTACAATAATCCGACAAATAATACCCTACTCAAAGATATTAAGTCAAAGACTCTTCTGTGCGTGTATGTTAGCCTACAAATACAAATACTGTATGTGACTGCATATTTGTAACTAATGTTTGACATTAGAGAACACAGACCACATGATAAATTTGATAAATAGCTTTAATTGTGACATTGGCTTTACTGTAATTTGTTGATCGATGTTCTTACAGTAATACGCGAGAAATTTTTACTGTCTTTGTGAAATAGAATACTGACTTATTGCTGGTGTGGGACACTGCATGTTAGTCTGCTTAGATAATATATAATATAATATATAATAGTGTTAATATACATATTT